ATGAAGAAGAAGAAGAAGAAGAAGAAGAAGAAGATGAAAAAGAAGAAGAAGAAGAAGAAGATGAAGAACTGACAGTTGTAAATGTGCCATGCTAACACCATGTTCCATAAAAATAAATAAATACAGCACAAAAAAAGATGAATACACCTATATTCAAAGCAATGGCATATGACTGATTAAGTTTTTGTTCGTAGCGGTGAGGTTCGAGATGTCTGCAGCGTCCATGCTATGCGGGAAGCTGGATTCTGGACTATATATATATATATATCGCGTGTAACAGCAAAATTGTCCAAATCGTGTAATTGTCCACCCCACAAAATGTTTAGTATCAACAAAACCACTAAACTAATTGAGTTTCATTTTTCCAAGTTTTCAGATAAGACGTTTAGTCATCTTGCCACCATTTTTCGTAAGAATCTCTTATAAAAATCGTTTGAGTTATTCAGCTAGAAAGAGAACAGGTTAAAATCCTTTTGTGTCAGCCCCACTATGTCTTCCCAAATGAGCAATGGTGACAGGGGAAAGATCATTCAGGCCTTCAGTAATGGTACCAACATTCATATTCTAGCTTCCATCTTCAAATTCGATTCAAGAACCATCAAGAGAACGATGAAGAAGTTTAAAAAGGAGAAGAAAACTAAATCAGGAGGTCACAACAGCAAGAGGGACCATCATTTCAACTTAGCGTTGAAAATGCATTGTTAGTGTTCAAAGTAGATTCCAATAAAGATTCAAAACTGAAACCAAATACACTCTTCCGTTCTCGGACATTTTGTTAATTAGAAATAATAACGAACTCAATTTTGACATTTACAGAAAGGCTACAAACAAAAATGATCTGATCTGTTTCTACTCAAACCACTCTTCAAAAATTAAATCTGGAATTATTAGAGGTTTCTATCTAAGAGCATTAAGAATCTGTGGTCCCCAATATTTACTTAAAAAAGAAACATACATAGAAAACACATTCAAAAACCTACAATACACATATCATTTCATCCACAATGCAAGAAGAAAGGCATACAAAATATACAAACGAAACAAAACTAATAACATAATCCGCAATAGTAAATCACATGAAAACAGATACATAATACTACCGACCAATTCTGTCACGTCCACTATCCAGGATAACCTATCCCATCTAAATAATCTTGAAATAGTCACAAACACTTCTAAACCATTATAGATATACTAAGATCTTCAAACATTAATGGCAATAATATTTCTGAAGCAGGCATATTTATAAAATAGATTGCCAAAACTGTTCCTCCCAATATATTGGAGAAAAAGTAGAAGTTTAAAAAAAACGCATTTATGAGCACAAAAGAGACCACACAAAAAACAACTTAGCTAATGCACTAGTCATACATAGAAATAAATTCAACCATAATTTTGATTTAAAAATGCTACACTCATAAAAAAAAAAATAACTCACTCAGAAGGAAAATTCTAGAGAGTGCCGCCATAGAATATTACCCAAATATTAATCTACGCCGAAGTTTTTTCCCCCATTTCACCTTTCTTAACAAAATTACTGCTCTCACAAACAAATGTACACAAGATTCATAAAATCAAAAGAAAATGGTTGAATACATGAACACAGATATAATGACAAATATTGACGTGTCAAATGACACGTGACAAATACTGACGTTATTTTCAGGTAACAATATGAAAAGAGCGTTTCTCTACATTCCAGTTGCTAGGAACATTACATTCTGTTTTTGTTTTTTGCCTTGTTCAATTAAATTCATTTCGTATTTTGCTTTGATAAAGTCCACATTGGACGAAACACGTCAGCAATTACTAGTTTTCCTATTGTCATTTTTATTCATATATATATATATATATATATATATATATAAGTGAACATAGAAGTCAACACTTAGAGGCGACAGTCTGTTTCATGCTATATGCAATCGTTAGGCCACATTTACACACGCTCTATCTCTGATATTGAGTACTTTATCCCATAAATATAGCACACCTTAAGAGTATATTTCTTCATATATATATATATATATATATATATATATATATATATATATATATATATAATAATAATAATAATAATAATAATAATACATATAAATAAATGAGGTATTCAGATGTCTAATCGCACTGAAGATCTGTGATACAGCGAAACAGTACTGCCTGTGAATAACATATATATATATTTAAATATATATATTTATATTTGAAAATTTCTCAGTGTTAATCACTTATACATATATATATATTATGAAATGGACAAAGTCCGACAATTATTTTAAGACATTTTTTTATGTTTATACGTCCTTTTTATAGATAAATATATTTGAGTAAATGCTCTGTTTATAATAAACCGTATTAACGACATTTACCGGCCTGAATATGCGAGAAATTTTCATAGAAAATATGTGCCTCCGAAAGGAATCGAACCATTACCCTGCACGGAACTGTCTTATAGTCTGACGTGCTTTACCGATTTAGCCACAGAGGAGCGGTTTGGTTAGCAAGGTTGATTTTACTCTTTTCTCTCGTACATTCATTAACGTAAAATAATTGTCGGACTTTGTCCATTTCACAATGTGTGAGATTATAAATTAATTGATTTAAAATATGTTTTTTTTCGCAATTAATTGATATATATATATATATATACTACCAAAGTATTTGTGCACCCTCAAAAGTTTTCATTTCTCATCCTAAAAGTGTTATTTTTAATGAAACAAGCACTAGAATGGTTTTATCCATTATACTAAATACAATTCTTTATCAGTATCTTTGACCCTATTATAACCAGATGTCTTTTGAAAAATTGATTTGAAGGTGTTTTTCTTTAGTACTGAACATGAATAAAACTTTTTCCAAAAGTTACATTATACCACCACTTGAATTCACATTAGACTATATTGCTTTGAATTACTGCTTGCTAGATACTACCAGTTTTACCTGTGCTGCCAATGTACATTGCCCAGTAGTGAAATTTTCAAATTAAAACTTAAATTTTGCAAATTTCTACAGGATCAAAACTTTTTTTTCTCAACAATATGCCCAAAACACGTGAACTTCCATTTGAACAAAGACAAGAGATCATTATTTAAAAGAAGAACATTCAAGTAGAGAAATTTTTTTTTAAATCCCAGAACTACAGTGGATTATACTGTTAGGCAACATCAAGAAACGGAACAAAACAAGACCAAAAGTTGGGCTGGTAGACCAAAAGCAACAAGAGCAGAGGATAGTTTCATCAAAGTCAACAGCTTCCATGACAGAAGGCCGACTGCTCCAAACATCACTGCACAACTGAACCAATATCGTGAAAAAATGTGCCAACATCCACCGTGAGGAGAAAACGCTATGAAGCTGGCCTATTATGGCAGAATTGCTGTCAAGAAACAACAGTTGCGGAATCAAAACAATGTCAAAATGTTACAGTGAGCCAAGGCGCATAAAGACTGGACAATAGAACAGTGGAATAAAGTTCTTTGGACAGACGAATCAAAGTTTGAATTCTTTGGGTCAAATAGGAGGGTCTATGTGCGGCGAAGAGTTGGTGAAATAGCTGCAACCTCCTGTATCACACCAACCGTAAAGCATGAAGGAGGCTCTGTTATTGTGTGTGTGCGGGGTGGGGGGAATGTTGTTATCGGTGATTTGCACCAAGTGAAGGGCAAATTGAATCAGACCGGCTATCACATCATACTGCAGCATCACGTGATCCCATTTGGAACGCGGCTTGTAGATCAAGAATTTGCACTCATGCAAGATAATGACCCAAAGCATTCTAGTAAACCCTGCCAGAGGTACATTAAAAGCAAAGAGGAACATCACGTCCTTAAATCCCATCGAACTGGTGTGGGATGAAATTGAGCGAAAAGTCAGAGCTAAGCAACCCACAAGTGCGTCTCACCTCTGGTAACTCTTGCAGGAAAACGGGGAAGAACTATCTTCAGTCCACCTCCAGAATTTAGTGGAAAGAATGCCGAGAATCTGTGAAGCAGTGATGGCGAGCAAAGGGCGTCATTTTGATGAATCAAAAGTTTAAGAAGTCTTTTTTTTTTTCTTTTTTTTTTTTTTTTTGTTTAATTCCTATTTAATGTGGTTCAGGAAGACTTATATTTAGTATAATAAATAAACCCATTGTGCTGCTTGACTTGTTCCATTGAAAATAACACTTTTAGGATGAGAAATAAAAATACTTTTGACTGGAAGTGTATATATATATATATATATATATATATATATATGTGTGTGTGTGTGTGTGTGTGCGTGTGCAGGGTGCCATTGGTCAATTGTCTTTATTTTATATTTTTAATTTCGCGCATGCGCGTTGTTTGATTTTATCGACTGCACAGTATAGTAGGGTCAGTTAGGCAACGTCTGTGAGAAAAAGAGCACTATGACTCAATTCACTCCGACATAAAATTGGAAATGGCATGCTGTATTGCTTCAATACGAACATTTCAGGGTGTTTGAGTGTCAATCTGAGTTAGCTATTATAAGTGTTTATAAAATAAAATATATATTCTGTAATAATTAATACAACTATTTTTGTCTGGGTCCTGAAGAACGAAGCAATGCGAAACTCTGAGTCGATCTTCAATAAGTATCGTAAACTTACAAAATTTCAATACTTTTTGATACAATAACACACACACACACACGCATAAACATATATCTGGCTATTGAAACTCAGAGATCTGTTCTCAGAATGCGCGTAGCTTTGGAAGAAAAATTCCTAATTTGTAATTGAACTTTTCCCAAGGTTTAACAAAATCTTGTCACGTCATCTGAAGATAATTGAGTCCATTTCCCGCTGTATATTTTTTTCTGTGTAATTTAAGCATCCCTGTAGAAAATGCGCAATTGTTTAAGCACGTGTTAGTATGCGTCAGCCATGTAATTAATGGGCTGGTAGAATAGAATTCAAGAATTCCATTCCAGGAATGAATTTCAGTTTCGATACCATAAACCCATAAGAGAAAAAGTAATAATTTATAGCAACGAAAATAATGAATCTATCTATCTATCTTCTCCTCTCTCATACACACACTCAGTCATTCTCAGTCACTCAATTTCTCTCAGTCACTCATTCTACCTCACACAGACACACACTCTGTCTATCTCTCTGTCCCTTATTCTCTCTCTCACACACACACATTCCTCACTCAATCATTATCACTCACTCTCTCTATTTCACACACATATAAACACACTCTCTATCACTCTATCTCTCCTTACTCACTCACGCAATCTCTCTTACTCTATCTATCTATCTATCTATCTATCTATCTCACACACACACAAACACGCTCTCTCTCTCTCTCTCTCTCTCTCTATCTATCTATCTATCTATCTATCTATCTATCTATCGATCCATCGATCTCTCCCTTCTGTTTCACACACTCTCTCACACTCACTCTCTCACTCACTCTTTATCTATCTATCTATCTTTCACACACAAATACTCTCTCTCTCTCTATCTTTCTCCTTATCTCTTACACACACACTCACTCCCGCACACACTCAATCTCTCTCAACCACTCTCTCTCTCTCTGTATCTATCTATCTATCTATCTATCTATCTATCTATCTATCTATCTATCTATCTCACACAGACATTCTTTCTCTCCTTATCTCCAAAAAGTCATAATATTAATCTGAAATCGTTTGTTAATATACTCTCGTGATGATTAGGTAGGACAGGGCATTGTGGAGAGCCATGATCGCCTGCTTAATGAAGGGAGACGGCAAATAAAGAAGATTCATTAATTAAACTAAATAACATATTTGCAGACTGAATACCTCAGAGGTCGATTTGGTGTCTTTTATTGTCCTTCCTCTACTGTTCTTTTATTGTCCTTTCTCTACACTAAATCCATCTCACTCTCTTTCATTCCCAGTAACCTCTTGCGTCTTAGTGGCATTATCGCCTTTCTTGGAGTGAAATGATTAAAAAACAAAACAAATACATTTCATTTTAAACTCATAAATAGCAGTATCCTAAAATTAATCGACGATAACATTTGTACACTATTTACATTGTTCGGACTATCACTCTCATCTTTCTTGCCATATTTATCACAACGTTTCGGCCGTTGTACGCTCAGGATTTCTTCAGGTAGTTGGAATGTCCAACTGAACCCTTTATTTCGCACGCTGGGGTAGACTGTTGTAGTTCCATGGGGTATGTCTAATGGATGTCAGTTATCTCCTGTTAATTCCTCTACTCCAAGTAGCCAGGTATTGAACTCACACACTTTGGGACCTGTCACTGGATCTAACTAACGCCTTCATCCACTGTGCCATGTTGATTGTCCGAATAGTGTACATAATACCACGTCTCAGAAATATAGACAGATACTGATAACATTTGTGACAGAACATTAGTTAAAAAGAAATATGTTGCGGTATATTTCCGACCTCTTTCGAACAGGAGTCGCGGTTTATTATTTGTTTCCTGTTTAGGATTGGATTTCCTGTTCCTTCTAAAGTCTTTTCCTTCTCTTTCGCTCCCACTAGCTTGTTACGTGTTAGTGACAGTATTGCCTTGTTTGAGGTAAAAAGATTTAAAAAAAAAAACATGTATAATTTGTAATTCTCTCCTCACTGGAAAGAATGTCGTAACATTATTTTCCTTTATTCTTTTCTTCTATATGAACTTGTGTTATACTCGCCCAGTGTATTGAATGCATATTTGCATATATACGTTTGTTTAAGATATATATATATATATATATATATATAGAGAGAGAGAGAGAGAGACAGAGAGAGAGTGTGTGTGTGTGTGTGTGTGTGTGTGTGTGTGTGTGTGTGTGTGTGTGTGTAAGTACGCTTGTGGAGGAAAAAAAGGTATGAACGTACTTACGTATTCTTGTAAAATTACTTTTTCTCATAAATTTTCCACGCAGAAATCAATGTGCAATAAATTTATGATTTTACTAGAAAGGGTCTACGTCGGCATGTATGCTTAAGTGGGCGTGTCTCTGTAACACTCGTCAAAAAACTAGGATTTAGATGTGGGTCATGAATTCTTGGAAAGAATCAGGAAGTCAGTTTCTTTGAAAGGAAAAATCAACTTAAAAGTCAGAGATTATAAAAAAAAAAAAGATTAACATCCTGGAGATAAAAAAAGCAAGTGTATTATCCTGAAGACAAGTAAAAATTAACTGCAGTACCTTCGAGATTGGAAATATAAGGAGTCTACAAAATAGGGGTAGTACTTTGGGGACTGTATAAGCAGTACCTTTGAGACCAAAAACAAACAGTAGAACCATTGGAATCAAAAAATAGTGTAGCATCTTAGAGACAAGAAAAATAAGGGTAGTTTCTTTGAGGAAAGGATATCAGTGCAGTGTCTTGGACACGAGATAAATAAGGATAATACTTTAGAGATCATAAAAGTAAGGATAGTACTTTGGGGACCAGAAAATTGAGGGCGGTATCTGGAGATCAGAACAAAAAGAGTAGTGCCATTGGGGCCAGAACAAAAAGAGCTGTATCTTTGAGAAAAAGACACCAGTGCAGTGTCTTGGAGACCAGAAAAATAAGTGTAGTACATTGGGGAACAGAAAATTAAGGTTAGTACCTGGGGTAGAACAAAAAGAGTAGTGCCATTGGGGCCAGAATAATAAGAGCTGTATCTTTGAGAAAAAAACACCAGTGCAGTGTCTTGGAGACCAGAAAAATAAGTGTAGTACCTTGAAGACCAGAAAAATAAGGGTAGTACCTTGGGGACCAGAAAATTAAGGGTAGTACCTGCAGATCAGAACAAAAGGAGTAGTGCCATTAGGGCCAGAACAATAAGAGCTGTATATTTGAGAAGAAGACACAAGTGCAGTATCTTGGAGACCAGAAAAATAAGTGTACTACCTTGGGGACCAGAAAATTAAGGGTAGTACCTGGAGATCAGAACAAAAAGAGTAGTGCCATTGGGGCCAGAACAATAAGAGCTGTATATTTGAGAAAAAGACACCGGTGCAGTATCTTGGAGACCAGAAAAATAAGTGTAGTACCTTGAAGACAAGAAAAATAATAGTAGTACCTTGGGGACCAGAAAATTAAGCGTAGTACCTGGAGATCAGAACAAAAAGAGTAGTGCCATTGGGGCCAGAATAATAAGAGCTGTATCTTTGAGAAAAAGACACCAGTGCAGTGTCTTGGAGACCAGAAAAATAAGTGTAGTACCTTGAAGACCAGAAAAATAAGGGTAGTACCTTGGGGACCAGAAAATTAAGGGTAGTACCTGGAGATCAGAACAAAAGGAGTAGTGCCATTAGAGCCAGAACAATAAGAGCTGTATCTTTGAGAAAAAGACACCAGTGCAGTATCTTGGACACCAGAAAAATAAGTGTAGTACCTTGTAGACAAGAAAAATAATGGTAGTACCTGGGTGACCAGAAAATTAAGGGTAGTACCTGGAGATCAGAACAAAAGGAGTAGTGCCATTGGGGCCAGAACAATAAGAGCTGTATATTTGAGAAAAAGACACCAGTGCAGTGTCTTGGAGACCAGAAAAATAAGTGTAGTACCTTGAAGACCAGAAAAATAAGGGTAGTACCTTGGGGACCAGAAAATTAAGGGTAGTACCTGGAGATCAGAACAAAAGGAGTAGTGCCATTGGGCCCAGAACAATAAGAGCTGTATCTTTGAGAAAAAGACAACAGTGCAGTGTCTTGGAGACCAGAAAAATAAGTGTAGAACCTTGAAGACAAGAAAAATAATAGTAGTACCTTGGGGACCAGAAAATTAAGGGTAGTACCTGGAGATCAGAACAAAAAGAGTAGTGCCATTGGGGGCAGAACAATAAGAGCTGTATATTTGAGAAAAAGACACCAGTGCAGTGTCTTGGAGACCACAAAAATAAGTGTAGTACCTTGAAGACCAGAAAAATAAGGGTAGTACCTTGGGGACCAGAAATTTAAGGGTAGTACCTGGAGATCAGAACAAAAGGAGTAGTGCCATTAGTGCCAGAACAATAAGAGCTGTATCTTTGAGAAAAAGACACCAGTGCAGTATCTTGGACACCAGAAAAATAAGTGTAGTACCTTGTAGACAAGAAAAATAATGGTAGTACCTGGGGGACCAGAAAATTAAGGGTAGTACCTGGAGATCAGAACAAAAGGAGTAGTGCCATTGGGCCCAGAACAATAAGAGCTGTATCTTTGAGAAAAAGACACGAGTGCAGTGTCTTGGAGACCAGAAAAATAAGTGTAGTACCTTGAAGACCAGAAAAATAAGGGTAGTACCTTGGGGACCAGAAAATTAAGGGTAGTACCTGGAGATCAGAACAAAAGGAGTAGTGCCATTAGAGCCAAAACAATAAGAGCTGTATCTTTGAGAAAAAGACACCAGTGCAGTATCTTGGACACCAGAAAAATAAGTGTAGTACCTTGTAGACAAGAAAAATAATGGTAGTACCTGGGGGACCAGAAAATTAAGGGTAGTACCTGGAGATCAGAACAAAAGGAGTAGTGCCATTGGGCCAAGAACAATAAGAGCTGTATCTTTGAGAAAAAGACACCAGTGCAGTATCTTGGATACCAGAAAAATAAGTGTAGTACCTTGTAGACAAGAAAAATAATGGTAGTACCTGGGGTACCAGAAAATTAATGGTAGTACCTGGAGATCAGAACAAAAGGAGTAGTGCCATTGGGCCCAGAACAATAAGAGCTGTATCGTTGAGAAAAAGACACCAGTGCAGTGTCTTGGAGACCAGAAAAATAAGTGTAGTACCTTGAAGACCAGAAAAATAAGGGTAGTACCTTGGGGACCAGAAAATTAAGGGTAGTACCTGGAGATCAGAACAAAAGGAGTAGTGCCATTAGAGCCAGAACAATAAGAGCTGTATCTTTGAGAAAAAGACACCAGTGCAGTATCTTGGACACCAGAAAAATAAGTGTAGTACCTTGTAGACAAGAAAAATAATGGTAGTACCTGGGGGACCAGAAAATTAAGGGTAGTACCTGGAGATCAGAACAAAAGGAGTAGTGCCATTGGGCCCAGAACAATAAGAGCTGTATCTTTGAGAAAAAGACACCAGTGCAGTATCTTGGACACCAGAAAAATAAGTGTAGTACCTTGTAGACAAGAAAAATAATGGTAGTACCTGGGGGACCAGAAAATTAAGGGTAGTACCTGGAGATCAGAAAAAAAAGGAGAAACAAAAAGTATTGCCATTGGGGCCCAGAACAATAAGAGCTGTATCTTTGAGAAAAAAGACTCCAGTGCAGTGTCTTGGAGACCAGAAAAATAAGTGTAGAACCTTGAAGACAAGAAAAATAATAGTAGTACCTTGGGGACCAGAAAATTAATGGTAGTACCTGGAGATCAGAACAAAAGGAGAAAATTAAGGGTAGTACCATTGGGCCCAGAACAATAAGAGCTGTATCTTTGAGAAAAAGACACCAGTGCAGTGTCTTGGAGTCCAGAAAAATAAGTGTAGTACCTTGAAGACCAGAAAAATAAGGGTAGTACCTTGGGGACCAGAAAATTAAGGGTTACCTGGAGATCAGAACAAAAGGAGTAGTGCCATTAGAGCCAGAACAATAAGAGCTGTATCTTTGAGAAAAAGACACCAGTGCAGTATCTTGGACACCAGAAAAATAAGTGTAGTACCTTGTAGACAAGAAAAATAATGGTAGTACCTGGGGA